TCACTCAATACTATAAGCAAGGAAATCATTAACGGTGATAAGATAATTTAAATGTGATGTGTTTGATTACTTGACACGTACGGATGGTTACTCAAGAATAGATAGAGTCCGTCGGTAAAATTTTAGTTTTGCTTTAGGAACCATGAAGAACTTATCGTTTGAAGATCACCTATTTGTTTGTTTTAAGTTTACGGCGTCGTATTAATTTATGCGAAATACAAACGCAAACGAAAACCTTTGGTAAATCGACACAAACTAAAAGTTTCCACGAAACAATGGACCGCATAAGAGAAGTAAATCAGAGTAAAGGCTTTTAATAATATTAGTTGTTGACACGGTCGACTCTATAATAGTATATTAGTTTACTTGTAATAATAATATGACTATGGTTAATGTATGATTAAATTAAAATTACCGACACGGGTATTTTTTTTTATAATGATACACAATGCGGGAGTAGCGTTCTTGTTTGTAAACTTACTTCGATGTTATGCACAGGTCGTTACTAGATTATGGTGCAGAATCCGCGTTTGATAAACGCACACAAAACGGGCTAATGGCTGCAACATACGACCAAATGGGTATCGTATAATTACTGGGACGTCGTTCACAGCGCACCCGATATGATTATCAGTTGAGCAGAGGCAGTCGACAGAAAATCGTACAGAGTTTATTATTGTTATTAACGTTTCTGAATCGACTATTATCACCGTATGCCGGCAGTAGTAGCTCACAAAATAATAATATGCATACTATTCCCGGGGCGGCAGAAGACGTGACCGCATTTTGTGTGTACATTTGAAAACATTATAATAATATGCGCTGGTCGTGATATCATATAAAAACACAACTGTATATAAATATTTCAAAGAATTCTAAAAAGTTTTTGATGTTGTTTAGTGTTTATTGAAAACATAAAGAATCTCATGAACTCAAAAAAAAAAAACAACGTAAAGCAGAATGAAAATGATATGAAAAATGCGTACTATAGAGTATATAAAAAACAGCGTGATGGCATCTTTATCATATATTCTACAAAGATGATGTAACGTTTATTGAGTTCTAATAGCGATAAGCAAAAAAAAAATCTTGGTCATTCACTGTTCGCCTGTACAAGTATATAGAACAGTATATTGTACTTTTCGTTTTTTTTTTTTATAGACGCTTTCATATAGATCGTTAAATTTTATTATCCCTGGACTGCGCTTATGTGTTTTTATACGGGGTAATTAAAGTAAGTTTACACTTGTTATTACCTCTGACCTCTTTAGTGCTGTAGTATTATTTTATATGCATTTAAGAGAAACTTTTAATTATATATCCAATGTACCTTCTACAGATTCAAACGGTTGAGAGTTCAAAATACTAGATAATATATTAAATAATGCTTCTACAACTAAAGTTCACAATCATTAAAATTTTTTTATTACGCTTTTATTTTATGTCTTATTCGTGCCGTGTGGTGTTTTAACACACTCTCATATTTCTCATACGCTTTCAGTAATCCCAATAGGCAAAGTAAGACAAAAAAAAATTTAACAGCTAATGGGATTTTCTGGAAGATTGCACTGTGTGAGAAATGTTGGGTTTGGTAACTCTATAAAGTGTCGATGAACAATAATACAATGTAGTTGAAATCGCGTCTGCAGAACCCAAAGAAGGGTCTGTATTAAATATAAAAATTGTGACACGCGCTGGTGGAATACATGTGTTGGGGCGAACACCCCAGTGACTAAATTTCGTTCGTACTACAATAAATTAGCCGAGAAAAAAAAGGAGCACTTTTTCGACTGTAAACAGTAATTAAAAATGACATGACTTACCCCTAATTTACACGGTACCGTAGCTTTTAAAATTTCAACCATGTTCATAAATATACACTTGTAACTCGGCATAATGTTTTCTTTGCCGACAAAAAAAATGGTATAAAGTTTATTTTTGTTTATGTTGAGAATTAAATTTAAACGATTGTTGGAATTTTTCGTTTTTTTTTGGAAAATATTTCGAAAACGGCGTTTTACAAATATTTTCATTTCTTTTTGAACAAAGCAATAAATATAAAATTTTATATGAAATTTCCACAACATTAACTTCCATTTAAATATATTTATAAATTATTTATGCTCCATATGATCAAAATTGTTTTTGATTACAAGTACAAAATACGAGGCCAAAAATAGATTTTTCTAGAAAATGTAGAATCCATTATACTCCACTGAACTTGGTGATGTATTGAACATAAATTACACGATTTTTACCTCGTTTTCATTACACCACTGCGTTATTAGAGGTTGTACATGGATGTATAAGACCAGTTATTATAAAATATATCTAGTAAGATAACCAGCCGGCAGCACAGATCTATTAATCATATCGTTGACCACACCGGGGTGCTCGTTATCACGTATAAATTTCACGTTGTTGTTATCTCACTAAAAAACTAAATAAATAATATCATCCATGCTGATCGTGACTTAGGACGATGTGCCGGGATATTCGATAGAACCCTCTTGGAACGAACGCACACAGGGAGAATAGGGTGTGACGATTAAAAGGAGAAGTCTGGTGTGATCGTACTACTGAGACCAGATCGGTGTTGTGTACATTGGAAGCACAAGGGCACACACATCGTATAGAAAATGAAAAATGTAATGAAACCCACTAGTAATATCGTCACATGTTCCTTTTTTCCTCGACATTGCATGACACATAATAATATATGTCACAAATCCATTTGTCCGTTTTCGATATAATTGTATACAGTCGGAAACAACGGCCGAGATAAACATCTTTTATTATTTAATGATAATGCGTATACACAGTGTACTCGAAAACCCTTTTAAAGTAATTCACTGCGTCCGCCGGTTGAATGAATGATATACAGAGGATAGGTTATTAAATGTTTTATAATTATTGAATCCTCGGTGGCTTTACCATAGTCAATATGAAGCAACCCGGTAAATATGAAGTGATTAATAAATAATTATTATTACGATTCAAAATCGCTATAATATGTTTGTTGATAAAACGAGATAAATCGTCTCGCCGACCGACATGCGTCCAGCAATAAAATAGTATAATCAACGAGTGTGTAAATTAATATAGTGGTTAAATTGTTTGTCGTGTCATATACTATATGCGACGAGTTTAAATTAATTAAATAAAACTATTGGCTGTGTACGCATATATTTTAGTTGATAACGACAAAAACTGGTTGACCGGCTGCTCAAATAAATTACTTCAATTAATTTTGTGGAATTTTCGTTGGACTGTTTCGATTTGAGATAATTTACTTTTTATAATTAATAATAACATAGCTCTACGTATAAAATAATAACACTTAAGCGATAAATTATTTATAAAACGAGTTTGGAATATTTATTAATGACTTCGTATTAAATTTATCTATCTGTAATTTCCAACTACAACACTTTCTATCTATAATCATTACAAAAAAAAAAAACTTTAAATGAGAATTAATAACATTATTAGTCCATCGTAAGATCATTAAATAATTATCATTTGGTACAACATTTTCTTTCACTTTTTTAACCTGAAGGAATGTTAGTTCTGTATTATTGTACTTGTCTAAAAGTTGTAATTAAATTTGTTTTTTCTTAATACTGTCGAATACAGTAAGCAAGTGGTAGACCATTTGTTTTTCAATAGATAAGATGGTGGCGCAAGGTGAACACATCCTTAGTTAAATGGACAAGATTTCTAAGTCATTTGAAATTGCACGGGTCAGTTGACATCTTACAGGCTCAGAGACCCTTTTAGAAGCAATTATGTCATTTGTTCACCCTAATGCGTAAATATACCGGTCGTTCGTGACAAGTCAGTCAGTCGTACGATATATTATTATAACAGGCAAATTTGGATAACGACCATATATATCGACCAAAAGCAGATGTGCGAATTTCTTTCAGAAATGTACAATAAATAGTTGTAGTAATAAATTTGCGTGACAAATGCGTTTATAATAATTCTCGACCGGTACAGCTAAATCGATATAAAGTAGACGCACGATAATATAACGCTGTGTACAATTAATAATAAGCACAAAGCAGTGGATACAATTTACACGGCAAAGGCGACATAAAGCGTGACTAATAATATTCCGGCCGAGTCTTCTGAGGGGGTACCGATACCGACGGATATCATACAATATGTATTTTTCAATGGCAAAAGGTGTCAAAAAAGAAATAAAACCTAGTATACGGATCAAATCCCTTGGAATTCTTCTGTGTTTGTATACAATATACTCGTACACACAGGAATACCGACTGGCAACACCTGGTCACGGAATCGCGATAGGAGACAAGTAGCTGCATATATACCGGATTAGTGTACACTGAGCAGCTACCCCTAAAGAAGGTTTGTTTGGTTTTTTTTTTTTTTGTTTGGATATATACCAATTGCCACCCGAGAATAATGTGTTTAGTAGGCGTATAATAATCGTAATAAAAGGTGGTGGTGCGTAAAAGGCCAATTTCCTTATAAACATAGGTGTCGGCATTTACGGTGGTTATGAGAAAAACCAGGTGTGAATGTCTGCAAAATGCCATTCACGTTTCCTAGTAATGCTCTCGCGCTATTGCCGTTACGAAGGTGCGTTGTGACGTGTATTGATTTGTAAAGATATTCGGGCCAAATGTTACACGGATTTTGGCTATTTAAGAGGAAATTATTGTATGTAGCGAGCTATTAACGCATAATGGCAAGCTGGTCAATTGCAACAGCCTGCTAAAACGACGTTCAATTGGCAAGCGAAGATTCAATAAAATTTTCCCTCTACGAATATATTGCGTTAAAATGAATAAACAGATTTTTATGTTAAAATTCATTTAAATTTATTAAATATTTTAATAATAATGTAATAAACTAAAAATAAAAAAACACTGTTATTAATAATAAGTTTTTACCAATTAATTGTACTATCAAATTTAATCAAACGGTTTTTGATACTAATCGAAAATATTCAAGGACAAGTTACTTACTTTCCAGCAATCTGGCCTATTCACACAATCTGTTGCTTCCGAATCATTTGGAATAAGCTGTAATAAAAAAAAAAAAAAGTTATTAATGATTGTTATAATAACACGTTAGCGATGACTAACGTACTAAAACATTTAATGGCAACAATCCTATGATAGGAACGATCCCTTCGAGAGAAACTAAACCCCGAGGGAATGTTTGTCGTCACGCAGTACATTCATATATGTTAGTAGTGCTTTCTCGCAGGGCTGCAATGTCGGATCTAAACCGAATCAGTGGCTTTTAATCCACAAAGGTTTCAAAATCTCAAGAGACTCACTTACGACAGAGTTCCGGTCTCATTCTATCCGGAATACCCCTACGCAAAATCTTGTATAATATAAAACGGATGCTTGTGACTTAGCAGCCATAAGCTGTATTTCCATAAAGCTTTCGGGTAAATAATAATAGTTAATTATTAAACGTGTTTTACGGCGCAGTTGGCTAATTCGTAAGATACTTTACCGGTATATTTTAAAAAGCACCATTTTAGTTGCGATTGCTAATTCTACGTTCTTTTAATGCTGCCGTTTTATGATATTTATCTGTTTACTAAAGTACACGATAGTAACACTATAACAACGGGAAAAGATTAGTTGGATCGTGCACATTATGTAATCGGTATCATCGTCACGGAGTTATCTGTGCAGGGAATCTGATTTATAATACGCCGAGAAGGAAAGAGGGAGACAGAACAATATAAGCAAACGAGGAAATAATAATAGTAATAATAGCAGTGTGCCAATCCCTCCATGCAACGAAGTACTAGGCAACGGGCCCTGTGTTATAATATCTGACAATCGGTCAAACTAATTACGGTAGTCCCATTCAAATTCCTATTGCCGGATCTAGATATAACATATTTTATCGTTCAAAAGTCATTACTGACCAAAACTTTTGATTATACCACCTCAAAGAATAAGCGCTGTTGGCGTCAGCGGATAGGTTTACACAAAAGCTTTACTTGATGATTCCAAATAAAGGCTTTTATAATTATTTCATAGCAGCTGAGAATCGAAAACAACTCGAGCGGCGAATTTCTGGGTACAGTGATAATAACAAATTCATCGTTCAGTTTGTAAAACACTTCATTAAATTATTTCATTTGTTTTTTTTTTTATAAAAATTTTTGTCGAAACATATATACAAAAAATTTTGTGTAATTTTTTCTTTAAATTAATTAAAATAAATATGCTCATAAAAAAAAAATACCAATTAAAATTTATTCGAATGCTACAAGTACAAAGTATTATTTTATTTCGTTAGTAACAACTACACTCTCAACGGCATCACGTGGTTTGGCCAATTCAAATGTATTATTTAACACTGGTTTGCCATTAGGGACTTTGGCACAGTGATACGTCAAGTGGGAGCATTAAAAGAGACTAATAAGCGTGTTGCGCGTGTATTTTTTTATACCTTCTCGAATTGTTTTTAATTGGAATATAAATCAAAGGAACATCGGACATCGGAAACCGCGACGGAGCAATAAAACGTGAAACCCTCCCCAAAATGTCACGTCCCCCGGGAAATTAGCATGGTGATATCCTCCGGCTATTTTCACAAAAAAATATAATAGTAATCATAATAATAAAAAAGTGTTTGTACATTTTTTCCATTAACTGTCTAACTTTTAGCAATTACGCTAATTTAATTCCACTGGTCAAACATATCAAGTATTCAGTTGTTTTAGAATGAATGTGCATTGATAATTAAGCCAAAAACTTTGGTGAACATGACAATTTAGTTGTTTGTTATTTGCATAACTAATATACGGTGTACTTTAAATGTTATTACAAGTAGATTTATCTCTAAAAATTGAATTTCATTAGTGTGTATTTTTAGAAAATGTATTATTCTTATACACTTATATCATGATTCATTTTGAAACTAAACCATGTGTACACTTTATTAAGCAAACATTTAATTGAAACACTAGATAATGGTAAAAAATGTTTGTAAACAAAAAGCACTTGAAAGGGTATTAAGTTTGAGAATATTATTGTACGGAAACAAATGAGCACATGTTTACGGCCACTATACTTAACCAAAAGTTCTCCAGCAAACTTCATTATAATCTCCAGCTGTGTAATAGGTCCCTAATATGGAAGACGAAGTGGCAGTCGTGAAAATGACTCTTAATAAAAGACGGGACCAAATTAACTGTGTATTATGGATTTGTTAATGTTTTTCAGCATGCACATGCGGTACAAAGCACAACAAAGATCGAGAGTTGGGACATGGAAACTTTGATAATAACATTCCAAAGGCCATTATGAAACTTCCGAGCATGCCGGAAGAGCTTTGTGCTCAGATTATGCTTATAGCTAGTCTTCTGCGTGTATACGGTTTCTTCTTTTTATTTTGCTCAACAAACCACATACCTGCAAAATTCAACTGCAATATCAAAAGCAGAAGTACTGTATAACTATCCATAATACAGTATGATAAATATTACAATATTTGTATTAATAATGAGCATTCATGGATATCAAGATAATGATAACAACACCAAAAATAATAACTAAAAAAAAACATCATTTAGTAATTTTCATGTGTACTTCAACAATATCATTTACATATTTTTTTTTTCAGGGTATTGCAGTCAAGTTTGAAAGATTAATGATGAATACTACAAAAGCGCATGAAAAACATATTTTTAGTATAAGAGAATCATGTAACTAATGGTTTCAAAAAACTTTTGAACTTAAGATTTTCACAAACTTAAGCTAAATCTTATCGTGAAAAGTATCGCATACACGATTTTTTATATAAACGTAAATTATAAACGTTATGGAATGATAGTTTTATTACTTTGAACATTTAAACTGAACTGAGAAATAGCTACAAAAAAATGATAATTTAAAACATATATTTTAAATTATAATTTTTTTTTATTATTAAATTCTATCATTAAGGTTGAATTATAAGTGATAAATTTTTATTATATAATTTTTTTTTTCTTTTAATAATTTAGTTACAACCACTAATCCCCAAAAAATGACCAGAATAAAACAAAGAGAAGGAATATGGATAGAATAATTGTGAGGCTAACAACTTATTGAAACATTCCATACTACGAGCTGCGTGTTACGTGTAAATTAGATTTGCAAATTGTGTTATAACTTTTGTCTGTAAAATGTCTTGGTATAATTTAACAAAAATATAATTCTCGAAAATTTAATACCATAGTATTAAATATCCACCACAGTTGTTTTTGTTTTAAGTAAATTAGAACATTTGCTCATTAGACAACAGCTGGAAATTTTAGTTTAGTCCTTTAACACAAAAATGCAATATTTTATTTGAATCAAGTAGATTTGTGTACTTTAGCACAATAGCATTAGCGACAGAAAAAATAAACCAGACAATAATAAACCAAGTGTAATTGTTGGGGTGGATTCTGGTGGTTCCTTGTTAGGTGACTTTATGTTTGAACATGAAAAGGTTTTAATAAAATTACTGTTGCGTTCGCATGAATTAGACTGTTGAACTAAAACGGGGAAACCGACATAAACTATCATAAAATGCAATTTTTCGCAATATCACTGACTATATGACACATAGTTTAAAAGAAAAACTAACAATAACCAACTGAACAGTACCCTGGGGTAATTTCAGAACAACAATAGTGCACTTATATCGATAAACCTATCAATACGCTGCAATGTATAGTACATGTAGGTCAATATTATATAACACCCGCATAATAAACACGTGTTAACGAATAGGAAGGTATTTTGCCATGTACATCGGTGCATGTGAAAAACTGATCGTGTCCAGTCGTAAACATTTAACCCAACGTGTCAAAAAAAAAAATCATATAGGGTTGTTTTTGCCAAGCGGCAAATAAATTGTCAGTTTTTGTGCCGAATCAACCGTTTAGTCTCAGCGGTCGAAGTCGCCGACGGCTAAATAATATTAATATATCCTCCTACGAGATCCCATCCCTTGAACAACACCGCAGGCGGCAACCATCAAATTGAACTCTCACCAGACGCCGCCGTTCTCTGAACGAAACGTCAGCTTTTTTCCAATCAATCGTGTAGTAAATATACGATGTGGCGGGTCTGCGGTGATATTGTAAATACTGTACCATTATCACTATTGTATTCGGAGTTATTATGTTAGCCATCTGCTCAGTCGGCGATGGGGTAAACGGCGATTTGCCATTTTTCCGGTTCCGTGCAACAATAAACCAAATGGTAATTTATCATATATTCCATATGAGACAGTGTAATTGGCCTGAAATAGGAATTTTGTAAACGGCACACCATTATCCTTTGCAACCATTTATTTCTTATAACTCACAATAAGTGTAAAATACTTCCCGGATGTATTGAACAATTTGCTTTGAAAATCTGAGTATATTACTCATATATTAGACACATTGGCTAATGAAAAGGTTTGATGAATCCTTGAAGGTAAAGTTGATGAGATCCATTTTAATATTATGGTTAAATGATAAATCTACTTATTTAATACATCATTTAATAGATCATAACATGAAGCCATAAGACAACAAAAGATAATTTTTTATTTGATACCCCAATCGAGTGTAATATACTTTGTGTAAACCTTAATGTTCTATTTGAAAAACAACATTAAATAGTGGACGAAATGTTGTCACCAATCATCAACAATATGTCACCAGACAACAACTATATGAATCTTTAAATTTATATTTCAAACTGATTAACACAAATGCTCAGAAAGCCACTGGTGGTGCATACAAGTGAAAATTTATTACACACTGACATACTTAGGAACAGAAACAAATAAAAAGTTTTTCAACTAAGCGCATCACGTCGTTAAGACGTCTACAGGCGTATATTTATGCTAAGAGAAAAGATGTACGCGTTGAAATGGGTTGAACGCACACAGTAAGCCAAATTAACTTTGAAGCGAACATAGCTAGAGAACTTTTTTGTTTGGACTGCGTCCAATATGGGTTTTAAGCGTACAAAACGACATATTATACCAGTACAGCATCATAATGTATGTAAACACTAGACGCGATTAAATACTGAGGAAGAAAAGTAACTGTCGATTAACGTCCACAAAGCTCTCAAGTCATTGAATTAACCATGCAGACCTACAGGAGATTGTTTCCCGAGAGTACACCCACTCACGGCTTGGCAACGGTTATGTTGTAGTTGCCGGTAGCCACCGCATAAGACTTCTGACGTATAATTCTTTTCTCAATGCGGTCAGACCGCTACCGAGCACATTAGTCACTTTGGACTTGGGATCTTGAAGGCGGTATCATTCAAAAAGATATTAGCCGACGACGACGCGTTAGTTGTAGTTTGTTGTAGTTACGGCCGTAGCAGCGACGCAGACATCCGGTGGACCGTCATTAATTTGCGATCAGCACCATCGTATGGAGGTGAGCGGTGAGAAGAAGGCGTAGAAAGGGTTGGTCGGTGGTTACTTGTCGACGATGACTGCGGCAGCTAAGCGGGTGGAATGTCTCTAAGAACACAAACGAGGCAATTACAATCAAATCGCAGACTCATTGTAAAGCCGTCACCGTCGTCGTATTGGCTTTATCCGTCTCTGTTTCTCTTTGCCACTTTAAGGTCATCGCCGTTGGGATAATAATCGTTAGCTGCTATCCGCAATAATGTGCATAAATACCGATTAACATATTATAGAAGTCGGCATCTATTATCACGGAAAAGTTATCAAATAGAGAAGAAAATAAATAGTCGCCTATTAAAACTTCCTCAAACAACGCGCAGCGTATCATTTGCGAATCACCAATAATTTATTAATGACAATTAATGAAGGTACGCGTTTACACGATAATCGACTAATATTAAATTTATCGGACCATTGTCCAACAACAAACAAATGATCGTTCAAATCACTTTGTGTTGGAATATTATTGCGGTTTTTAATTGTGTACACGTCGAGAGTACTGTAGACAATAAATCTACCCCGTGTGTATTAGATTCTACTTTAATCAACTAATCGTTTATAAAATACATTAATCCGGCCCATGTACTTTAATCGAAAAGCTATACATTTTAAATAATAAGTACATGTTAGATGAAGTTGAGATGTTCCAAGTCATATGTGTTAATGATCTATTTAGGTTAGAATACTTGAAGATATAATATTAAAGTATCAAAACTATTTGATAGCCTCAAGAATTTAAATAATATCTTATTCGATAAACTTGCAATTTATATCAGAGAGCAGAGAGTACAGATTGAAGCAAACGTTTTAATGATAGTTATTGAGTGATTGACAAATTACGGGGTTCTCAATAGGTACAGAGTAAGAATTTAAAGTTATATTTTCCTTGGTAGACCTAAAACTATAAATTTGCTCTTATTATAATATAAAAACAACGCTTATAAAATAAACGGCATAAGAGGCTACTCCGTAAACGGATACTAGTAATAGAAGGTTAACGATCAAAACAATAATTATTGTTATTATGCTATTGTCGAAAAAAAACATTTTGTTACGGGGATATAAGCGCTCTAAAGCAGATAACAGTCAAGTACTTGAGTTTCTTCATTTTTATTACTGTAATTATTGCCAAACCCCATCGACAACTGCTAGGAAATCGAGTCACATAAAACGTTAGAGGAGCATTATAACTGAGTGTGGCTAGAACAGTCTGGGTAATAATAACGTGGATAAACTTTTTGAATGAATTATAGAGTTATTTCATAATACTAGATGGGAAACCGAATCGGTCATATTCGTCAATATAAACATAGGAGATTCATGATGTGGTATAATAACTTGGTATTATCGTTTAAGTACATAACATTACTTAGTTTAAAATCACAAAAACCAGCCATTATGATAATACTTTTATGGATGCTTCCACCACAACGTTTGTATTAAAATGATTTCGTTATAAATCAGATTTAGATTGTTTACTTACAAATGCAGTTTAGTATATCTCCAATGCGAATATGTCACTTTAAAGTTATTGTCAGACTGTAACTGTGATGCTCCGTCTAAATTTGTCAGGAAAAAAGTGTAGGGGCGTGTCAAACTCTTACACCAAGGTGAAACTTTAGACTCGTCCGGAAGATACCTATTTCATAACTTAGTTGTTTAGTAAGCTATTTACGATTACACGCTTGCTTGAGTTTTGCTCGAATCAAAATCATCGTGGTGGCAGTACAAAGTGTACTGCACGTAAAATATTACTTCGTTTCCGTTTTATCATCTAATTATAACCGAACGTCTTAAATGTGTCATAAAGAAATCTACGTGGTATATTTGGTAATTTTCACATCGTTTTGTATGAACTCGAACAAAAAAATTTTATCCTACAAACCCCGAAGCACACAACATAATACGATTTATTTATTGTACAAAACCACACGGGTCCTTTTAGTCGAAAGGAAGGAAAGGGACCGCTATCCTTTTTGAGCGTTCGTCGTAATGACTGTTATTCGACCCAGAGGATTGACAGTTTAACACACACGTTCTTCGTAGCTACTCGGGTGTGTTTTTCCTCTCTGCGTGCAGCTGCCGCAGACGTATTATTACGTTGTCTTTCCATTAGCCGTTTTTCTCCTTCACGTGTTTAGTATTTATTTATATATATATATATACGTCTTAACGACTCCGAACGGAGCTTTTAAAATAAAAAAATAAATACATATAAATACACCCTTCTATGTGCTCATCAAAATGGGCATTCAATTAGAAAAGCGATGATTATATATACACATCAGCTGTTGAGGGAATTCACATTATTGTTTTAATACAATCCAAGTCGCGCCAGAACCGCACTTAAGTATAATTTTGTACCAAACGGTGTCGGTGACGAAGACCGAGCGGGTTGGAAAATAGAGGAAGACGGTGCGAGGGAATTGTGTTTAATTCTAGCGCCAGATTATTTTATAATTTAGGATAATAATAATTTTGTAGACAAAATGCCATTATATTTACGAGTTTCACAGGACGTCACCCAACCGTGTACCGGTTTAAAACGATCTAGGTAATCGTGTTGTTTTTTTATTTTGACGTTTATACAATTTATTACAATCCAAAGAGTTTTTCAAATAAAGATAATTATGTTTAATAACATTATACATCAAACACAAATTATATGGACTCGTATTGTTTCTGAATTAAACGTGTTCAAGAAGTCGACCAGCCAGGCAGATGGCGTTATTTATGTGTACCGTTTTTTTATTTTTCATCCGTCAAACACGAGGCCAACGTCTCACAAATTATAGACGCTCTGAGGGATCGTTTAGATACACCGCGCACATGCAAATCTATATATTTTTCCTGACAACACTCGATCGGAACACGTGTGGGAATAAATCATCTTCGATACACGTTAATATGTCAAAAATTCGAGTCTATCACATTCATCACGCAACATAACGTCTTAACAGAATAAGGGAAAAAATGAACGAGTACAAGAACGCAATATTAATGTGTAAAAGAAGATTGACTGCGTGCGGCATGCGAGTCACGAACAACAATTCAAAGTAACATTCGTCGTCAGTTTTCCAAAATATTTATACGCTTAAAGACTTATTAAGCGACTTCGTCGATGTGATAAATTTAACTGGTAGATATGACAAATACATTTCTGAAATATTGTTCAGCATTAGATACATTAATTATGGCCCGTTCAAAACTGTTCATTTGAACAGACTTGACGTCATAATACTTCACTAACCCGACAAATAAGTTATAAATATAAAATACAAAGGTTCGAAAAAATCCCAATAAACAACGAACACAGTACCGATGACGTTTAAAAACTATAATTGTGTTGAATAAATTATAAATAATTTACATAAAAGTTAACTATGTTTAAAACATTTGTTTAAGGCCTCACCGGTTTAAGAAAATAGACAGAATATCAATACAAACTGAACAAACAGTACCCAGTAGGTATGCGATTCATTACTCTGGTACGGGGGGGTCGTATTCAAATAGCATCGTTTAAAATGGATAATTTATTAAATGGTATCGGGTCGTGGAGATACGAAGTCGACGACGCCTACTGCGGGAAAAGAACGGGAGTCTGACGGATTTTAAATACTACAACAATATTATTTAAAAATACGAAATTAATACCATAGGCCGCGATGGCAGTGGCGACGTGTACGACTAAACGCTCAGCATGTGCACGTGTACACAGTAATAATGATACAATAATATTATATCTATACACACTATCCAACATTCCTTCACACCGAAACGCAAACGAGAATATTTGTATTTTATGTTTTTATTAAATCGTCACTGTGTACGGATTTTATAAAGGAAAAAAATTAATTATCGTTTAATTTATTTTCATTTGCCCACCCCCAAGGCTGAGACCTGAGATTTTATTTCCATTCTCTCCTGCCGACACCCGCCGGCATCGCCTTATAGACATCAATACGGTAAATACAAAACCGTGAAGTCGTAAAGAAATAAAAATATATTTAAAACGAAAAACATACTCATAACTTTCGCTCATACCCGCGTGACTTGGACTGCTCAAGCTGGTACATGGCTCATATTATATTTTAATATTTACCCGCCTTTATTTATTACCCTCTGCCGTCAAAATGACTTCATTTGATATTTCATTTTCACGTCTATGTTCAAATACGCCGAACACACCGTTTGAGTTAATGTGAGAAAACATCACTATACTACTTATATTTTATTACTTTATTACTACTAAGAGAAGCGATTTGTAGTGATCGGAACTGTAATCTGATATTATCAGTAACAGTCAATCTATTGAACTCGGCATAAGTAAATTTATTAACACATTCGTTTTGCTTTTAGTAGGTCCTGAACTGCACATGATCGTTTATGAAAACGGCGCATACCGGAGATAATGTTTCGAGACGTTGTTTATGATGCAATTGTGAAAAAACAAAATCCCAGGGCATGGTGCAGTAACTTTGGCGAAGATCTACGATGTCGTTTTTATGGGTTGAGCAAATGGACTTTGGATTTATGCGCTACGAACGCCTCCTATGCATTCTTTCTCGCAAAGTACAAGGGGCGTCAGCAGCAGTCAGAGTACAATAACAACATAATCATTACAAACTTGGGAACTATCGACTGTTGAGTATTTTTTAAATTATTTAATCAACATATTAACTTTGTTTTTTTATTTATTGTCTATTAAAAATATAAGCAGTTAATATTTTTTTAATTATTAGTATTTCATGTGGTGATACAGGACTACTTACAGCCGTTGTAGATCAGAATGTTATCAAAAGAATATAAAAATCCTTAAGGCATCTAATAAACTTAGATTTATCTTTAATTTACTTTTCATTTTTTTTAAAGCGGTATCCGATGTATGTTTATTTATCGTTGGACTGTTCATTGGTTCAATAGATTTATTGTAAGCACAGTATTAACCGGCCGTATTAATGAATATTCGCTCAGCAGCCTGCGGGCAACACAATCCTATCCGAATGATTCGTGACTCTCCTTTTTTACATACTCTGGTCTTTTAGTTCTTTCAACAAACATACTACCACTTATTCGAGAAACAATTATTCATTTTTCATCATAAGACGAATCATCGTATCAACATATAAGATACAAGGCTTGTTCATTTAAAGATTATCAATAATTCTTACTATGATTTATAATGTTTAAAAAAAGACAAATTACTACCATATTCGTAAAATTTCAATTTTAATAAAATATATTTTAGAATAACGCAGCCCTCGATAATATTATGATAATTAAATTTTTATATTTAATTAAATGTGCACAATACTTCACTTTTCTAACGACGTTTTTCCCTAGAGAAATCATTAAAATAAGTTGCCTATAGTGAGAATACCACACTATATTTACAAATTGAACCATTGCAAATCCGTTACTATTATAATATATTATATTGGGTACTTACAGCTTTGCAAATATGAGTTCAAGTATTAATTTTAATTGGACATTCAATTATAATAGTGACGGAGAGTGTTTAGGTGGTTGTCTCCCCAAAATGATTAGCGAGGTTTGAATTCGTTTACATTTTAAGATAATAATCTTCCCCTAGAAATTATTTTCCAGTTGCACCACAGGAATGTAATAATTATCATAATGCAATTCGACTCTTAGGCGCATTAAAGTTGATAAATCTTTCAAGTGACATTCAATCTAAAACAACAGAAAGTACAAACTGTTCATAGAAAAAACTTTTTATTTCATCAATAACATAAGTCTTTGGATCCCTTTTAAAAACGACCGAAACAAGAAATCACATGTAGAAATTGCGGTTCAGTAGCTACATTGAATTCATTAACTACTTAAATTCCACAGAGTGAATGTATACGACAGATTGATGTTAAGAAAAACACACTCGAACGTCTGGACTGTAGCTACTGTAATGAAATGAGTTTCATTATGTCTTCTCGGTAAACACTTTCCAATAAACTCCAAGTCTTTAAGGTAAAATTATAATAAATTGTTTTCAGGCGGCGTGCAGGACGTGTGCATTAAATACTACAGTACTACTCAAAATTCAAGAATATATTCTACACAATGATTTATGGGTATAGTATAATATGCAAATTCAAATTACACATAACCCTACAAGCACATTAGATACTTAAAATGAAACGTTTAACGACATTAGATTTAGACGTATTAGACGATGATGGGATTTTGTGCGGCGAAGAGAAACTAAAAATGTACACAATTAATCATATTAAAAATAATTATGATAAAGCCTACACGTGGCATTCTCCTAGTTTTATCTTTAGAACAACTGTTACTAATAGAGCTTCGAATAGAAGAATAAAGTTCCTTACAAAAATCAATAAAAGAATCAAAAATGTAAAACTAAGGTTTTTTTTTATAAGATATAAATTAGAAATTGATACCTAATTAATTATAATCTTAGAGTTGAGTCGTAACCACAGAATATAAATAAAATTAATGAACTATCATTGCATAAAGTAAACTGTATAAAACTAATAATACTTTGATAAAAAAAAAAGATGAGTGACTAGCATTAGCGGCAATCGGAACGGTAAAAAGAGTAACTAATGCTGCTATTATCGTATTGGAGATAATCATATGACATTTTATAATTGTCTCCATATCTGCTCTATTGGCGTATAATTATCAGAAATACCCGTCAAATACTATCCTCATATCGCGTTGCCGCCATCATCTTTTATAGCTTACATTCATTGTAATATAATACGGTCGGAATAATTATTTCAAGATAGTAAAAATGTATAAAGCCTCGATTCACTTCATTTAAACGTTTTGCTCAATACGATGCTGCTAGAACTGCAGCAATACGTTACAAGAGACTTAAACCGGTTACCACTTGCAGTGAGAATAGTAGACAAAGCATTACGGACAGAGGATTTTTAATAATTATAATTAGCTAATGATTCAAATTTTATAGGAAACATAAAATGCGACTATAAATGTCAGAAGACTTAACAATGAAGATAAAAATGTATACTCTAACTCTTCAATCAAACCACATGTTCTAAATACTGAATACTTGAAGTAATATATTTGATTTTGCCGAC